TCTGATTTTGGAGGTCTCATTCGTCGGTGTGGGATATTAGACTTCATTGATATATCCCACGTTCCTTCAACCTGTCCTCCTTATCCTTACTCATCTAACGACGAGTCCGAACTAGCATCCTTGCCATAAGTGCATAGCAGACGAATATGTGTATGATAAGAAGTGATGGTAATAGTGCTAAAGGAAAGTACTATAAGAGCGGCTTTTTCATGTAAGAGGGCGACTCAAATAGCAGCTCGAGTCGCCGACTTACTCATCAAGTTAATACTCATGGCTTTCACCTTTCCTTTTTTGAAAGCGCCGTCCGGAGAGCCGGGTGGGCGGGGCCAAAGAGCAACGTCGTGTGAGCCTCTTTTCTTTCTCATCTTTGGAAGGATGAAGAGGGCAGGGAGAGCTGAGGGCACTGACGTCTCCTCCCTTAGCTTCGGTCATCCTGCTGTCCTGGACGGTGTGTTTGGTTCTTCAATCCTTTTTGCGCTATCCTTGAATCTGCAGCAAAGCAGTTTCCTAGGGAGCACATTCAATGTTTCCAAATGAAAAGCTTACCAAGGCTAGCTTCGAAGCCACAAATGCTTTGCGTACTTTGCGTACTCTCGTAATTAGGGAGAAATTCGGACCATGCATTAAAATTAAAGTGAAAAGAACGAAATAGGGCGTTAGGGAATATTCGGCACTGTTCAACTATTACTACCCCAGTTTTGCGAAAACAGGCCGGATCTTGATCGACTTTTTTCTACGGGGGCGGATTTGGCTGAAAGTTGGGTTCTAGGGGTAATTCGACCTCCTGAACACGAATATCACATCCACTTGGCCTGAAAGTGCCTGGCGCCCGCGCCACAGGCGCCAGTGATTTAGGGCATTTTGGCGCCGGCGCCCGTGGCGCGGGCGCCGAGCGGTTTCAGGCCGAGCGGATGTGATATTCGTGTTCAGGAGGTCGAACTACCCCTGGGTACAAGTTTTCAGCGGATTTGGTGATCTAGGGTACTTTGGCGCCGGCGCCTGTGGCGCGGGCGCCAGGCAGTTTCGGGAGGAGCGGATGTGATCGTGTTCAGGAGGTCGAATTACCCCTAGAACCCAACTTTCAGCCAAATCTGCCCCCGTAGAAAAAAGTCGATCAAGATCCGGCCCGTTTTCGGAAAATTGGGGTAGTAATAGTTGAATAGTGCCGAATATTCATACTTCGCGGCCCTAGCGCTTTGGGTTTCGTGCGAGTGTGACTGGTCATGCTTAACTTCTAATAAGTGGTTGGGCCACCGCAAGTGCTAATTAGATCAGTCAGAATAAGCCCCTTCGAAGCGATTGCAGTGGGTCTCCGGTTGAAGTGCGAGCGCGGTTGACTGCGGTGGTTGACTCGAGGCGACTGAATCGTTCGAGTCGCAAACTATGAACGCGGTCTCAGGATGCGCACTGGAACCAACACACACGGCGTTCAATAAGTGGTGAGGTGGGAACAAAACCAATGGCTGCTTGAATCCGTAGATTATTCTGTTCATTTCCGTTTGTCCGATTATTTTCTGTTCATTTTTTCATGCTCTTTGGCATTCTTTTTATACCTTATCTGAATCATGGAAATAAACTGTTCAGGTGGATCCCTCACCTCCTCCATCGCCATCAGGAGCGAAATTGTCACAAACAATGCAGTTTTTCGAGATGTGTGCCTCGCTAATCGGGACATTAGCTCGATGAATGTCAAAACCTTCATGAAAATTCGTTTGTTCTCATATTTTGTAAAGTTGAGCGTCCTTTCATCGAGTTAGGAAGTTGTTTTTCATGCGGATTTTGAATGCTTCTAGTTGTTATGAGTCCGCTGTCCTTATAATTGTAAAGACTTTCAATAGTACAAGAGAAAATATAGTAAAATGATGAAATACTTAGGGTCATTCCTATTGTACATGCGTCCTTGAGCAATGTAAATAAATGTTTTGTTCAACAATAGAAAACTGCATGAATTGTAGTGTTGTGTACATCCCAGTACCTCTGTTTATTTTAACATAACGTACTTGACTACTTGTGATGGAGTAATGAAGTTATAGCGCAACCGTACAGTAAAACTTACGGTAAAATTTATTGAACTGGATTAGTTGTTGGTAAGGGCGCATCGTATTGTTCGTGTCAGTCGCTTTCTACGAATGTCGCTTGCACGCTTCAACAACTGGTCGAGGGGCGGCGCCGCGCCAAACTCATCCTGCCTGACCCCCCCCCCTGCATCAGCAACGTGTCCATCTTGACAGGATTCATAGCCCCTCCCCCACCCAGAACAGTGGAGCGTGACCGTTGGTTCCAGGAAGTGATATAGAGGGGTGATGGGAACATCGTCGGTGGGTGACGTGATAATAACTGATAAGATCTGATTAGGGGCGACAAGGAGGAGGGCAAATGTATAGAGTGCGCACTGGGGCGTTGATTCTAAGAAGTGATACAGAAAAACTAGTTTTCGGATCAGAATTTGTTAATCTCTGAACTGAAAATCCGAAACGCCATGCCCCTACTCTTGAGATCTACTCTTCTCAAATACAGGAACTGGTGGACGCAGTTTGCCTTAGGTGACGTCTTTGCGGCGGTTCATCGATTGACGATGGGGCGCCCTCGCTCGCAATCGCGCGTTACCATCGCGAAGTACGAACACGCTTTAAGGCATTTAAAGTCACGACAGCTGGGCAGACAGTGCGAACGGATGATTTCGAGCTAGGAGACTGAGTACTTCTAAATGAGCTTCGGTGGGAAGAGATGCGAGGTGGACGAGACGCCAAAAAGTCCGTCTGTCTGGGGTAACGCCATGAGGTACTGAAATTACAACAGAGGGGAAAAGGATGTTCAGGTAGGGACCCGAAAAGAGACGCTAATGCTTTCGAAATGCAGTAAGGCTATCCCGTCGAGTTAATGCGGAGTGCCTGTGAGTTCCTGGTGACTGTGGTTACACTCACTTGGAAAAACTCGTCCCTAAGGTGTCATGGCACATCATACATGCTCTGACCCACCTCATATTGTGATGTGCTGTCAGTTTTCATGTCCGAACACAGAAAGGATTGTTATAATCGAAAAATAGCGCCCGTATAACCACAGCAGCAAGGATTTGTGATCCCCACATAAGCGTCTAAGTTATTGCAGTTAGAAGGGATTTTCCTAATAGCAGCGAATGTGGGTAAGTTCGCATACACCGCCTCAACTTCGGTTTTTCAATCTTTTCAGATGATACCATATGGGAGGCAATGTATGTATACTTATGTTATTTCCTATTTGTTCTGTCAGACCGTCCAAGTGTTCTGGTCAGCATTTTCCGGAGACATCCAAATGATTTGGGTAGTTTTCAGGAGGGAATGGAGAGCTCTGGTCATTTAACGGGTAACTACAAGTGTAATGGTGAAACCTCAAGTACTACTAAATGCGTGAAGTGCCCAGAAAAGAGCGTGCTAGGTGAGCTTCTTAGCTTTCGTCGTTTTTAGATGTTCCGTTTTCAAACACTCACTATATTCGACGTGCGTAAATCTTCAGGCACTATTTCCCCTTCACTGCCCCTCTTCAAAATTCAGGCTAATTTTTAGCTTCCCTAGTAGTAGATATAGCCAAATTTTGCCCTTAGTGCATTCTTTGAGCACGTATATAGAACACGTCGCATAATAACAATTCCACCTATTAGCTTACAAAACACCATTTACAAAATGTTTCCGAAAAGTCTCTAGCGAGAGAATTTGTTAAATACGAATGAGGTCAAATTATCGACACATTTACTTTTGAAAACAGGGAAACCTTTACCTCCTGAACATGAACGAAACCTAGCGCGCGCCGCAGCCGCCGGCGCCAAAATGCCCCAAATCATAGAAATTTGCTGGAAACTTGTGTCCAGAAGTAGTCTGACCTCCTGAACACGAATATCACTTCCGCTCGGCCCGAAACCCGCTGGCGCCCGCGCCGCATTCGCCTGCGCCAAAATACTCCAAATTATCGGGGCCCGTGGCACAGGCGCCAGGAGGTTTCGGGCTAAGCGGATGTGTATTCGTGTTTAGGAGGTCAAACTACCGCAAGAGATAAAGTTTAAGCCATGTCTGTAGTCTGAGAAAAAGTCGGAGAAAAAACTGGCTCGATTCCGGATGACTAGGGCAGTAAAGGGTGAATAGTGCCTAGATATCCTCTTATTGAAGAACTGAAAAGTGCGCATTGTGCTCAGTCGTTAAGCATACCATAGATTGTCCATAAAATTCGAATGTTTTATTTTTGTTTTTGTATCTTATGTTTCTGTTCCGACCTCATTTCTTAACGTTTTTTCTTTGCAGAGTCACATAACGCCACCTATTGCGAGAAGTGTTTCCTCGCGATGGTTAAGGGAAAATTTAGATCGGCACTCAGCAGACGCAAAGTTTTCAGGGTTTGTGCTCTGCTTTTTCTTTTCCATTAGGCCTTTTTCTTCTGTGAACGTATTGACTACTTCTCAACATGAGCCCTATCCGATGTTTTCTGAACTTCTGAACTGTGCGCAGAAACTGGGGTCCAGGGTGGTCACTACTTCTGTTCATTAATTCATCTGCTCCGAAATGTGCATGATGTCCACGTTTGATCTACAATATGTGAGAGAACTAAATCTGAAGATGTCTGCCATTGTTGAACATTTGCAAAGTGTTAGCCTGCGTTCATACTTCGCGGCAGTGTCTACCAGCGTTCACCAGCGACCACTAGCGTTCCGAGCGTCCGGCAGCGTCAGCGACTAGGAAAGTATAGATATCGATCTAGCGTCTGCCAGCGTCCACCAGCGACCAGCAGCGTCTCGAAGGCTAGGGAAGTATAGGTATCGATTTATGGTCTGGCTGCGTCCACCAGCGTCTGACAGCGTCTACCAGCTACCGGCAGTAGAGAGTATATTGAAGTAAGAGGAGTTAGCACAAGTGAGTAATAACAGTTTATTAGCAATAGTGACCGAATAGAATACTGGCTGGAAGTTCTGGGCCCGAGGGCGGCAGAGGTAAGTGTGTCCGAAGCGGGTGTCCAGCAGGACGGTCGTCCGATCTCTCCCGTCTCCGGCATCATTCGTCTTCTCGCCTTTTGTATCGCTCCGCCTCCTGCAATCAGCAAGCGTCATCGGAGGCTCAGCTCAATATAGATTCTTCCACTTCCTTAACTCTTACAGAGGGTAGCAAACAGCTGGATT